CATCTTCTCGTGTGAACTTGATGTATTTATCCACAGAGTTGATGTGGTCAGTAAAATGTTGGACTTCCTGAGATTTAATTTTAACCCAGGTGTCGTCAACATACCTGAACCAATGACTTGGTGGTGTCCCTGAAAAGGACGTCAAGGCTCTCTTTTCTACCTCCTCCATGTACAGGTTGGCAACAATAGGAGAAACTGGAGACCCCATAGCACACCCATGTTTCTGCCTATAATATTGCTCCCCATATGTGAAGTAGGTTGACTGCAGGCACAGTTTCAAGAGTTGACACAGTTGTTCTGTGGAAAGCGTGGTCCTGCTGCTCAGAGTGGTGTCTGATTTTAATCTTAAACTGTCCAGAGGACCAGTTTGAACTTTTTTGGATTTTTCTACCTGGATTATTGAGCATGTATCAGGATACTTTTATGGAGTTGTTTTATTATTTTCTTCTGCCGTTCCAGTTTACTGGTGATCTTGTCATCAGGTGGGACACACACCAGCAGTCCCCTGTTAGTTCATGTCTCGTACACAAAAAACTTAAATACATTCTCTGACTTAGTTCACTCTGTACTTGTTGATACCAAAAGGCAAGCAGATGCAAAGAACAAGATGCAGTTGTGATACTTCAGCAGCAGATAAGAGCGTCTTTACACAGGCTTCCGCAGAACTTGAGAAAGTAATTAAATCACTAAATCAGGTGTGTCGGAGCATGGAAACAACTAAACCATGCAGGATGGTGTTCCTCAAGGACCAGTGTTGGGAACCACTGTAAGGTCATCTTGAATCGGTTTGGCTCCAAATGTAAATTAGTTGTAGAGGCACATCCAGTGTTTTGATTTCAGCAGATTTCAGTAAAATATGTCCAATGGTTCATGAAATAATTTGTTGACAGACTGGCAGAAATATAATTGTCCATTTTCTCCTCTCAGCGGCAGGTGATAAATATAGAAGCACATAGAAACGAATCCATTTAAATAAGTGTAAACGCATGTATCAGTCATGAAGACTTTGACTGATTTCTTTAGAGTCACCTGTTCTGAACATCTCTGGGTCCTTTCACTCTTTCCAGACTTTATATCGTCTGGCTCAGTTATTCCACAGAAACTGTGGACCTTTACATTCACACGTGCAGCTTCTACAAACAATGTACCGTATTTTTCGGACTATAAGGCGCAATATCAATGAACGGGTCTGCTTTCATATATAAGGCGCACCGGATTATAAGGCGCATTAAGTGAAATAAGTTCATTTTGACAGATTTTTGAGCGCCGTGTACCACATAAAATCAGTTCGAGGCCAGTAACACAACCAGAATTAATACATAAGGCACACCTAATTATAAGGCTCACTGTTGATTTTTGAGAAAATTAAAGGATTTTAAGTGTGCCTTATAGTCCGAAAAATACGGTATTTAAAATAGTAAGACCTCAGAGGATGTGTTGTTTTTAATTTACTTTCTAGGCACTCACAGGGATAAGAAAGAAAACTATAAACTGTATATTTTAGCCGAGGGTTGCTGCACTGTGCTTGACACCTCTCTGCAGACTGATGCCAAACATGTCAAGAACAATTGAAGTCTTTGATGACGGTGTAACAGACTAGTACAAACTTTCTCTATGCTGTGTCCTTTAGGTGTGGTTTACATGAGTGGGTGTGTGTATGCGGTTGGCGGTTTCAACGGCTCTTTGCGTGTGCGGACGGTGGACTGTTACGACCCGGTGATGGATCGCTGGACGAGTGTGAGCAGCATGCAGGATCGGCGCTCTACGCTCGGTGCTGCTGTCCTGAACGGACTCCTCTATGCTGTCGGAGGCTTCGACGGCAGCACGGGTACGGCTGTGTTTTTGCGTGGTCGAAACCCCCCGTTAAGTGTGTGCAACTGCAGCGAGTGGGACGGTTGCTGGTGATTTTGAGGGATGCTCTCTGAATGTTTTGCAGGCCTTTCCACAATCGAAGCGTACAACGCCAAGACAGACGAGTGGTTCCACGTGTTGCCCATGAGCACCAGGCGCAGCAGCGTAGGAGTGGGTGTTGTCAACGGTGACTACACTTCTGTTTGTTTTCAATGCCAGCACAGAGGATGAGATTTCATGAAACAATGTCACACGATTACAGAAATGCCCAACAGTTTACTGCTGCACGACTAATGCAACCCACCAAATGACCCTACGTTGAAAATGATGCCATACATGCTCTCTTATCGTGATCGCAGGGGTCCTGTATGCTGTTGGAGGTTACGATGGAGCCACCAGGCAGTGTTTAAGTACCGTAGAAGCCTACAATTCTAAAAGCAACACATGGAGTTATATAGCAGAGATGGGCACGAGACGCAGTGGAGCAGGTGTGTTTGTTTAGTTTGTTCCTGTGTTAACTTAAAAACGTTAAAATATTTGAATTAATTCTTCTGCTTGAGATCTTTCCTTCACACTAAAGCTGCACAAATGTTTTTAGAGTTCATAGAAGAATATGATGTATTTGCAGCCTAAGTGATTTGATCCTGAAGAAACAGGTCAAAATAAAAAAGGCTAAATATTTCAAAAAGCTAAAGTTGCATCAATACCAAAAGTCATAGCAGGATTGTCCTGAACAAGCTGAATGTTTTGATTTATGATTTGATGAAATAGCTTCAAAACTGCGGGATGAGAACATTGACACAAAACGTACGGAAGAATAATGGATCACAATAGTGAGAATGCTTCATCAATATTCACACTATTTAAAAAAACCAGTGGGCCTAATGCTTCATATTTGACGCTCACAGCTGACTGTGCTGAAACGTGCTTATTTGAATATAAAATGGAAGAGGGTCCCTCAGTCTCAAATGCTCACATGTGCACGGATGCGTATCAATTTGGATGTAAACACATTTCTCAGGTTTATCTGCAATTTAAAATGTCCTCAATGTCTTTCTCAGGTGTAGGTGTGTTGAAAGGTTTGTTGTATGCTGTGGGGGGGCATGACGGTCCGTTAGTGAGAAAGAGCTGTGAAGTCTATGATCCAGCTTCAAACAGCTGGCGACAGGTTGCTGACATGAACATGTGTCGACGCAACGCAGGTCAGTAGAGCATAAATGTACAAGATGGATGGTTGATATATTTTCTGTTAAATGCTTATTGTTTGTTGGGTGTTTGTTTTCAGGTGTGTGTGCTGTAAACAACTTGCTGTATGTGGTGGGAGGAGATGATGGTAGTTGTAATTTGGCCTCGGTGGAGTTCTACAATCCGAACACGGATAAGTGGACGCTACTGCCGACCTGCATGAGCACAGGCCGCAGTTATGCAGGTCAGTGTGCAAGATGAGCTACAGGTTTATGATTTACCTGTACATCTCAGGATCGTGTGTATCATCAAAGTCTGAGTTTTGTTGTTTATAAGGGTGGAAATTTAAAGTTTTTGGGAGATGACAAACATCAGGATAAATGTTGTGTGCTGCTCACCTACACAAACAGAAATTTGGAACTTGGTTCCTGCTTTGCACAGACTCCAAAATTTAACTTTCTTTTTCAGTAAGTGAATACCGTATTTTCCGGACTATAAGTCGTAGTTTTTTTTTCATAGTTTGGCCAGCCCTTTGATGTATAGTCCAAAGCGAGTTATATGCGTTTATTTCCTGTTCATGATGCAATTTTTGACTGATGCGTTAAATGTTTATTCATATCGACATGTCTGGCTGGCTTCTGCCGGGCACATTACCTCCACGGCGGTGTGCCATGACCGGCTCTGGGTCAGTCTGGAAGAGTCCGGGGACAAAGGTGGCTCTACAGCGTCCCCCCGCCTGCACTTTCTCCCCCGCTACATTTTTTTCCTCTTCATGAGGCATTTTTTGACTGGTGTGACCTATACTCCGGAGCAACATATAGTGCGGAAAATATGGTAATCATAAATGCTAAATGTGATGTTTTTTTATACACCAAGAGAGCTGAAAAAAACAACTTGGCTATAATACACTACCTTGCCAAAAGTATTCACTCACCTGCTTTGACTCCTATATGAGCTTAAGTGACATCCCATTTCTAATCCATAGGGTTCAATATGACGTTGGTACACCCTTTGCAGCTAGAACAGCTTCTACTCTTCTGGGAAGGTTGTCCACCAGGTTTAGGAGTGTGTTTATGGGGATTTTTGACCATTCTTCCAGAAGCACATTTGTGAGGTCACATACTGATGTTGGACAAGAAGGCCTGGCTCTCAGTCTCTGCTCTTATTCACCCCAAACATGTTCTATCGGGTTGAGGTCAGGACTCTGTGCAGGCCAGTCAAATTCATCCACACCAGACTCTGCCATGGACCTTGCTTTGTGCACTGGTGCACAGTCATGTTGGAAGAGGAAGGAACCAGCTCCAAACTGTTCCCACAAAGTTGGGAGCATGGAATTGTCCAAAATATCTTGGTATGCTGAAGCAGTCAGAGTTCCTTTCACTGGAACTAAGGGGCCAAGCCCAGCTCCTAAAAAACAACCCCACACCTTAATCCCCTCTCCACCAAACTTTACAATTGGCACAATACAGTCAGACAAGTACTCCGTTCTCCTGGCAACCACCAAACCCAGACTCGTCCATCAGATTGCCAGATGGAGAAGCGCGATTCATCACTCCAGAGAACGCACCTCCATTGCTCGCGAGTCCAGTGGTGGCGTGCTTCACACCACTGCATCCTACGCTGTGCATTGCACTTGGTGATGTATGGCTTGGATGTAGCTGCTTGACCATGGAAACCCATTCCATGAAGCTCTCTGTGCACTGTTCTTGAGCTAATCTGAATGCCGCATGAAGTTTGGAGGTCTGTAGTGACCGACTCTGCAGAAAGTTGGCGACCTCTTCGCACTATGCGCTTCAGCATCCGCTGACCCCGCTCCGTCAGTTTACGTGGCCTACCACTTCGTGGCTGAGTTGCTGTCATTCCCAAATACTTCCGTTTTCTTATAATACAGCTGACAGTTGACTGTGGAATATTTAGGTGGGAGGAGATCTCACGACTGGATTTGTTGCATAGGTGGCATCCAGTCAGTTCCACGCTGGAATTCACTGAGCCCCCGAGAGCGACCCATTCATTCACAAATGTTCGTAACAACAGTCTGCATGCCTAGGTGCTTCATTTTATACACCTGTGGCCATTGAAGTGATTGGAACATCTGATTCCGATAGTTAGGATGGGTGAGCAAATACTTTTGGCAATGTAGTGTATATATCCTTTAATGAATTCTTGCTTCTATTTTTTAATCGTATGTTAAACATTTGTATGCCAAGCAAATAGCAAAAATGTACAGTCACTGTTTGTCAGATTGATTACATGAAATAGATGCATTTTTAGCAGCATGCACATGTTGAATGTTAATGGCTTTGACAATTGGTTTAGAATTAAGTGTCGCACATACTCCATCCTAAGTGCCGAAATGTCTCTTATTATCATAGTTGCGTGACGAAAATTGTGTCATTTTGTTCTTAGAGTAGCTCCACCCCTTCTCGACACAAGGCCTTGGCTAAACTTTTTCTCACGGGTGTATGCACCAAGTGTGTGAATGGTCAGAAGTTTGTGGGCGTGTTTGTCAATGTGGATATGCACTCAGACACTCAGCTGTCCGAGTCTTCAAACACACTAAATTAGCCAAATGGCCTAAAACTCTTGGAAGGAGATTGTGCAGATGTATGGAGGAGTCTGTCTGCTGAAAAGTGTGGCGCTTTCTTCATGATGGATTTGTGAACAAACGGTGGATGCAGGGACGGAGTGGAGACTTTGGCAGGAATAAACCAGTGTGGTGATGTATACTGCAGCAGGAGGGGTTTCCCAGGAGCTCTGCATCTCGCGGACTGTGAAAGGTATGTGCGAAAATGAATATCGCACAACCATGTGACTGCGTGTCAACCGTTGTTCTTCAGCTGGAGTATGCCAGGACCTTTAGACGTCTGACGGTTTCACTTGTTATGTCATGTTCCTCTCAGTCACTATGTCACTTAGTGATGGAAACTAATGTACAGTCACAGTTTATGAACTGTGCCTGCGTGATTGACATGACATGGCAGCATGAAGACTTAGTGGTTAGCACTGTTGCCTCACAGCAAGAAGGTCCTGGGTTCAATCCCCGGTTGGACCTGGGGTCTTTCTGTGTGGATTTTGCATGTTCTTCTCGTGCTTGCGTGGGTTTTCTCCGGGTACTCCTGTTTCCTTCCACAGACAAAAAACACATGTTAGACTGCCTTCAGGCCCAGGCCTCCCTTGCAAAAGAGATCTGTGATCTCAGTGGGATTTGCCTGGTTAAATTAAGGATAATAACGATTGATAAAAACAAGCTTATAAATCTGTTATAGCACTTGAGCATGGACTTTGTTGTTATAGCACTTGTTTTTAAATGTTTTAAAACTCTGAAAGTACACCTGGACCTGTCATTCTCAGAATCAGAATTAGCTTTATTATCATTGTACCAGGATACAGTAAAATTATGTTCGTACAGTTGTCCGAAATATGGGCGGAGTGCACGTTGCTGCTGCTAAAAAGCACGGCCCCTTATTCTTTATCAGAATATTTTTAGATAGAAAATGTAAGAGCCATGAGGATAGATAGTGGTATTACAAAAAAAGATCTCTTCACATCTTGTCCTATCAGGACACGATTTGAAACATCACAAAACTCTACCAGCAAGCACATTTATAAACGCATTACATACGCATTTGATGTCAAGATGTTGCGATTTGTCCATGAGCACTTTCAGATAGGCCACAGTTCTGATGATGTTGTTGCAGCCAACAGTTCTGATAAGCCTGCACAGAAGTTCTCAGGGGTGGGGGTTTGCGATAGACTAGGCTTTGTCCCTAGTTACCCATGTTCCAAGATAAATTTGATAGTCGTCTCGTATCCAAGGCCAAACGAGGGAATCAGATTCAGATAAGTCCCAATTTTTGATTTTCTTCAGGCAGACTGTTTTTTCTCATCAGTCTTGAATCCTGCTGGAATTTTCCGGTCCAAAATGGCCAAATTGATGGTTATTTCTACTCCACTGATCCGTGCTATGAGCCTTCCTCAAGGTCAAGCCTAACATGCTGGCAAGTCCTAAAAGCCGCACCGCAGGTGGCCTGCGATTCTTACAAATCGTCTCCATCTTATGGTTTAGCTCATAAACCTGCTGATTTTGAGTACTCGTAGCACGAACCAAACCTTCACACAGACTCAGAAGCTTTGCCATGGCCGAAATTGCTACCGAAGTCTTCTTCAAGTTGATAAAACAGAGCCCCGCCGATGCAAAAGAGCAGAAACCCTGCTATCATAAATCCAAATATATAAACGTCTTCATTGTCCTCCTGAGACAGAACTGAGAGACACATCAGCTGCCAAACTCCCCACGGATCTCTGATGTACCCCACAGCGTGAGTCTCAGCCAGACAAGAGGGTTCTCCAGGACCCTGTCGTTTTGTTGAAAAGATTTTGTCGATTGCGTTGAAAGTCCAGCTCACCAGATCCATAATCGTATTTTTCGTTCAGGAGATGTGTACCAGGAACTTCAAACACACAGAGAACAGAGCAGGAGGAAGGAGAACAGTGGGAGAGGAAGCAGAAGTGTCTGCCTTGTGCGAGAGCCAAATCAAAAGAAAAAAAAATGTTTGTTCGTTCCTCTTTCTTGTCTGTCAATCCCCATTTTGTCAAAGCAGATGGCCGCTTGTCCTGAGCCTGGTTCTGCTGGAGGTTTCTTCCTGTTAAAAGGGAGTTATTCCTTCCCACTGTTGCCTTTGTGCTTGCTCAGGATGGGAGACTGTGATGAAATGAATATTCAACACAATCTGCGGGCTTTCTTAGATAGAGAACTTTTACTAACTACCATTTATAATATATGTGGAAGTTTCTGTTCAGTGCCCTGAGATGACTTCTGTTGTGACTTGGTGCTATATAAATAAACTGAATTGACTTGAAATGTGGGCAGCACGGTGGCGCAACTGGTATAGCTGCTGCCTCTCAGCGAGCAGGTCCTTGGTTCAAACCCCGGTCCAGGGGCTTTTCTGGGTGGAGTTTGCATGTTCCCTCCGTGCATGCGTGGGTTTTCTCCGGGTACTCCGGTTTCCTCCCACAGACCAAAAACATGCATGTTAGGCTGATTGGTAACTCTAAATTGTCCCTAGGTGTGAGTGAGAGAGTGAATGGTTGTTTGTCTCGTTTGTCTCTATGTGGCCCTGTGATGGACTTGCGACCCGTCCAGGGTGTACCCCGCCCGTCGCACAGTGATTGCTGGACATGGGCACCAGCGACCCCCTGACCCAAAATGGAATAAGCGGGTAAAGAAAATGGATGAATGGACTTGAAATGTTGGGAGTATTTTCTTTAATCTATACATGCAAACTTGTATTTTCCATGTGGTCCTCTGATGCCTTTTGTTTATGGCATTAGATCTAAAATGCTCCTTTTTTCTCCTCCTCTACAGGTGTGACCATGATCGACAAGCCCTTATGACTGTTTTTGACATTTGCCTTTGATTAAAAAAGCAGAATGTATTCTCTTGCTGAGTACTGATCCTGGATCTGTCTACGACGCTGATGCTCGGGTTTTGGGCAGCATTGGCACAGGCACCGCAGGCGAAACAGAAGAAAACAAGATTCTTATGGTTGAGAACGACGAAAGATTTTTGCACTTACCTGAAATGGAGGGAGCCGTAAGAAACGAGGATATCAAACCTAGTTTAAATCCGCTCAGGGCGGGACTGCAGCCGTAACTGGACGACTCAGTTTGAAGCACAGCTGGACAGCTGCAGTGCCATTGAGATGCTACTGACATGAGGCTGCTATAACTGCAAAGTTGCTTTAACATTAGTAATGTTAACACAAACCAGACTAGAGAGAGAGTCATCTATTCTGTGTGAGAGCAAAGCAGAAGAGGACCATTTTGGACTGATTTTTTTTTTTTCCTTCAGTTTAATTCTGAGATGCGTGCTTGCATTTCAAGGTGCTCCATTGCTCGCACATGACGCATGTGGTTTTGTTTGCATCAGTGTGTTGTGAGGCCTGGTTTGAGACGCCACATGAACACACACTAACTTAACGGTGCTGCAGTGAGGCTCGTTAAGAGTGCCTGAATGTCAAAGTACATCTTCTGTCCTCTGTTTTAGCCTCGTGTATCGCTATAGAACAGCACAGCTGGATTAGAGATGCTTTTATTGAATTTAGAAATAAATTCTAACTGTAGATTTGGGGCTGTATTGTTGTTATATTGAAAGCACATAGCTGTGTTGAAAGCATATTTTAGGTTTTTCATGAAGAAAACAGACTTTTGTTGGGAGCAAAGCCTCAGTCATGTTGTCAAACAGTAACATGAGAGAAGCTGTTTGAAAAGTAGAACATCTGGATGTGCTTTACCGATACCTGGCAGCCATATTTATTCTGGTTGTAACCACTAAACGAAAGCAGCATCTTGAACTTACTGCATGGACCCTGTTTCTACCCTGTTTTCCCAGTCCCCTCCTCTTGTTTGGTGTTATTAACTACTGAGCACCCTGAACGTAATATGAATGTGCCAATTTTACCGTCTCTTCTTATTTCTGTCTCTCTCTGTTCTCTCTTTCTAGAAAGTGACCAAACTACTTTTTTCAAGTCTCTTTTTCTCGCTTCTTCTGCTACGATAAAATCTTGCTATAAAAGTTACTGGTATAGCTGTTTCTCGTCGGTGTATTGAGGAATGTCATGTAGGCCAACAACTTGGAAAATGTTTTACTACATGTTTTATATTATTGTTATTATTATTAACAAATATGCTTCTTGTATTTAAAGCTGTGAAATAATATATTGTTTTTGAAATTTTGCCAAATCAGTAAAACACTGAAAATGAACATGTCTTGTGTGAGTTGATTATTTTATATAACATGAATAACGCAGTCTTTCCTCTTGATATTTGTTATATAAAAACAATCCAAAAGCCTTTCTAAGGAATACGCCTTTCAGGCCAGTGTTTTAGAATGAGAACGTCTTTGTTTGAGAAATTACGAGTTGTAGCTGTTTTGATCAAATCTTGAAAATAATACCGCAGGACCTGCCATCTCAAGAGATGTCACAATATTGTAGGCTGCGTTGTGAAGGATTCTGCTCTAAAAACAAATGTTAGCTGTATATCTGTACAACTAAGTTATAGCATTTTCTGTGTTGCCTAATGTTCATTAATTATGACTAATCTGAATTTAATTGACATCAAAATCAAATCATCTAGACTTCTAATAATTGAATTTTGTTAACTACTTTAAAATACAGTTTATATATATATACATATATATATTATATATATTGGTTCTGCATCAAGGATGTTAGAGCTTCATTTATGTTTATCCACTAAAGAATATGAAATTTTATATTTATCTTTAAATGCTTAATGGCCAAGTAATCAACCATTTCCACAAATAAAACTGAGGTCAGAGCATGTACAACAGCAATAACTAGTGAACACCCCACCACCCCATGCACAACCTGGTGCAGCCTGCTAAACTTATGAAAACAACTCGCATTCTTATTGGTCCATACTGTAGAACCCTCCAGTCTCACTATCATCAGTCCATTCCGTCAGCCAATCAGTGAATCCGCTCTGCTCTCTGACGTCACACTCTCCCCCTGTCAGCCAATGAGAATTGTCCATATTAATGTACTTCACTCGTTCGGTCGCCTCGAGTTCAGGACAGGTAGACTGGCGGCACAGCGGGAAGGTAAGATTTCATGTCCGATTAAGAGACAATAGCTGAAGCTAACTACAAGTTCTTATGGATAAACCCGGAAGGCAAGAAGTTTATCGAGCTGCACAATATTTATGCGTTATAGTTTTCAACATAGCGGTTTACGGAATAAACACTGTAATTTGAGCCACTAACGGATAAACATGGCTGACATTGTTGTATCCTAGTTTCTAACTATTCGTTGTTTTTGTTGCTGTTTTTTTCGGGGTCTTTTGTTAGTTGTTCACCCATTTTCAATCCGTTACGTAATGTTTTTATTTTTATTTTGTTTGTTGGCTCAGTTTGTAAGCTTGATGTCTCAGGTAATGAGTCTTTTCGGCTCAACCTGTATAAATAATAATAAATGAGTGATGAGCCAGTGTTGTTTCGACACATAATAATAATAATAATAATAAACATTTAAGTTTGACTTTTATTAGCATTTCCTCTTGTCTGACACAAAAACACAACTTGCTTTCATTTCTTCAGATGAACTTACATAATGTTTAATAATATGGCATCATTTGGCACACATTAACAGGTCTCTCTTGTAAATGAGTCCTAACTCACTGAAACTAACCTGTATAAATAAAGATTGAATGAATAAAATACATTTAAACGCATAGATTCTGCTCATCTGCAATTTCTCTCCTCAACTTGTCCACTATTTATTTTTTTAGCTTGTGCTGCACATGATCAGGTACAAGGACTAGAAAAACGAGTGAAAAAGCAGACAAAGTCCATGTAGAAGCGTTGAAAGACCTTCAACAAGTCACACGGACTAGATCAAGACCAGTATAAAAGAGTACAAGAACATCTGTCACAGTATTTTTTGCCTCCAAAGTACATGTAATATTCATTCATTCAACCGTTATTTATGCAGGTTAGTCTCATCGAGTCACGAGGACTCATTTTATTCATATCTATATCACTGGTTTATATTTGATGACTTTGGTTCTTTCAGCCTTCTTTCCAGACCTGGAGTCACCCCTCAGCCTCCATCATGTCAGCAAACAGCACAGCAGACATATTAAGCTCGGCCTATCTTGCAGTGGAGTATGTAGACGCTGTGCTGCCAGAAAACCCCTTTCACCCCTCCCTGAAACATGCCTGGGACTACATGCTGAACAACTACACCAAATTCCAGATCGCTACGTGGGGATCGCTCTTTGTTCATGAGTTCATCTACACCCTGTTCTGTCTGCCCGGTTTCGTCTTTCAGTTTATACCCTTTATGCAGAAATACAAGATTCAGCAGGTATGTGTGCGCTTTATGTGATGAAATATTATTTTACGTTTTAAACTGTTTGTTTAATGGTGGACGTGTGTGCACAGGACAAGCCAGAGACGTGGGAGAAACAGTGGAGGTGTTTAAAGATGCTGCTGTTCAACCATTTCTGCATCCAGTTTCCTTTAATTTGTGGAACTTACTACTTCACTGAATACTTCAGCATCCCGTATGACTGGGACTCAATGCCACGCTGGTCAGTGCAAGACTAATAAATCACACTTAAATGACATATCAGCATACTATATTTAACATAAAGTGTCAAATGAAGGGAAGGAACGGAACACATGTAATTAGGAAATTTTTATAATGATTTTAAAACTAGGTGATGACAAATTTCATACTTTTGTTACTCTTTCTTAGAATTAAAATGAAATTGTTGCAGTTTTATATGTTAATCAGTCATAAAACGATACTTCTTCATTCTGTTGATGCTTAAGATTTTTTCATGTTTTTCAACATTTTGTCGTGTTTCTCTGGTTTCTTCCTTTTTCACACCTAAAATTCTTTATTGCTCAACTGTTGTTCCTCATTTTAGTTATAAAGTCTCTGAAACAGAATTTATTTTCTGCCTTCTCTTGTATTAGAGAAATAGGCATAATACTTTATATTTTAATGCCTTGTAAGAATATGTTTTGTGTAGCTCTAATATGCTAATTAAGTTGGTAATAGGCACTAAAGTCTATTTATTTTTTTATACTTTTAAATTTTACATAACATAAACAAAACAAAAAATGTTCGTAGAAACACTCAACAAATGTTTCATCTTTAACTTTATACCTTCGGCAGATTTCGTTATGATCATAGTAACAGAAATTAAAACTATAAAGGCACAAACGTTATAAAGAGATTTAATTTTTTTTTAAATTAAAAATTAAATTGAAAGTTACAGGTAATAATAGAATCAGCTTTAATATGTTTTCCAGTGTGAAATTAGGACAAGAAATATTCATTTCAATTTTGTTCATCAGATTTTTTTCTGTTTTGTGGTTCTTCAAAGGAATTGTTCAGACATATTCTGTTAACTTATCACATTATTATTATTATTATTATTATTATTATTATTATTAACAATAACCTCCCCTCGTCTCCTCCAGGACTTCTCTTCTGGCTCGGTGCTTTGGCTGTGCAGTTATCGAGGACACCTGGCATTATTTCCTTCATCGCATTCTGCACCACAGGCGGATCTACAAATACATCCACAAAGTCCACCACGAGTTCACTGTGAGTTAAACACATGGGGGATAAAAGTAAATAAAGAGTTACTTATTAAACATGGTGCTCTTGTTGAAGCCAAAAATTGCAAATGAACCGAATGTATCATGACTGTCAGTGGCTTGGTCACAATGATTCTCTGATTATCTCTAGAGACAAACAGATAACTATCAGGGTTAGGGTGCTAATCTGAAAGGGAACGATCTGTCCATGTTATTCAGGGGTTCACATAAGCGGTTTCCGGTTGTCAGAGACGACCTGTTTTCATCTTGGATGACCAGATCTCGCCTTGAGGTCATTAAAACATGAATTCTTCATCACCGCGATGGACTTCCGTCATCTGTAAAAACGAAAGAGGGAAAAACACGCGTTTTGTTGTAGTCTTGTTAAAGCCAACCAGTCTAATGATGATGCAGGGATTAAACTGATGATGCGTTCAACAAATAAAAAGAACCAGAGCCACAGTTTTTATCCAATCAGAGCAGAGCAGGGCGGGTCGTGCTGTTTGACACACGGCAGGTGCGTGTAATGTTCCCAACTCAGAGACAGGCTGCAGTTGAAAGCACCATTCAGTGTTTCCTGGACTATTTTCCATGGAGGACACTCTGCTACCCTAACAGTATGACACGTAATTATTAAATGTATGTGTTGGTGTACGACCAATTCACTGCAGCCGGGTGAGATGCCAGAACTGAAACTGTTACCCCACCCACTCTTCCCCACAGCGCCCCTGACCTCCATAGGGCTTTTGCATCTAAAATCTAACTTTGTATTAAATGTTAATGTGTTCAAAGCATCGTCATTATCGAGCAGACGTGCAACTTGTGTGCGTGACCAAACTCCAGGTCTGAGAGAGAGAACATCGTTGGGGGAGCGCGCTCAGCCTGAGCGCCTCTCCCAGTACGAGAGGTGGCTGTTTCTCCTGCTTTCGTTCTTATAATTAAACAATATAATGCTAAAAATATTTATATGCCCCAGATTATAACAAAGATGTATGTCTCAGTTTAACTTCAAGTCTCCACCCCCAAACTTAAAGGAGTTCTCTCTGCCAGCAAGTTTGTTTCAGGTGTTTGTAGTTTATCATAAGTATCAGCAAATTTCAATTCCACACGGTGCTTTGACTGTTTGAATGAGCTAAACTCAATTATTTTAAGAACCATACTGAGAGGTAATTGTAGTATGATAAATGTAATTTAATAAATGGTCAAATATTGTAAATAAATAGCATTAAATTACTACATGAGCTGAAATCCTGTAGATATAATCCCTTTGATTGAAATGATCATTTTAGGGGAGAAATCTGTCAGTCTGGCAAATAAAAATAAATAAATAGAGATTTTAGGTTAATTTATATTTTGCAAAGGCCTTCCTGTGCTCTAATTTGTAAAAATGTGTGTGACAACTCAACTGAACATGTTAAAATGACATAAAAGTAAACAGCAGAAAAGCTGAAAAGAAATACCCCTCTCTTCCTTCAGAACGCCGCTGAGCTGGAGAGTGTAAATGATGCAGGTGGAAGACTTCTTACAACTTCAGCGCTTCATTAGAGAACACTATACTGTGTACTTCTACTAAGGCCATGCACACAGTATACAGTAGCCCCTCTCTGTTTCGCTGTTCGTTTATCGCGGATTCGCTAAATCATGGATTTTCAAAACAAGATTGGACACGACACAATTGGCTGATTGATGGATGAGCCATGGGTTGTTTATTTAAAATAAATTGTTGTAAATGTTTTTGCACCATGTGTGCCTCCCACAAGTGCAGGGGAAGCTCCCTCCTGCAGCTGATCAGCTGATCTCCTTCTCTGCCACACACACATTTGTCCTGCTGCATCAGCTTTGCTGTCCAGATGCACCGATCGACTTTTGTCTTCCAACTTAAAATTCAAAGTATGTCACATCGTAAAATCGTCATAATCACAAAATTTAAAAGTGTTAGAAGTTATTTTAAATTATTTTAGAGCTTCTATGTTCAGTTGTTTCAGTGTAAGTGATCAAGACGTACATTTCTGCAGAGCTGTGTTAACCCTTTGATGCCCTGCTTCTCCACAATTTAAATTTAAATACTGTAACATTTTAAATAAACAATCTGTGCTGTATGGATTGTTTATTTAAAATGTTACAGTAGTGAAATTTAAATTGTTTATTGAAGGAGGGAGATTGGGAGTAACAGGAGATGAGTGAGTGTGATTACAGCCTGGCACATGTCATGACAAAGTTTACTGAACTTTAACTGAACTTGAACTTGGACTACTGTATCCCTACTTCACAGTTTTTCACTTATCGTGGGTGGGTGTGGCCCCAAACACCCGCGATAAACGAGGGACTACTGTACTCCTTTTTATGTAAAAACCTTTCAGAAGTGGCCCGG